TCTGAGTCAGCCCACGCCACAGCTTGGATCTCCATGCTGCGAGCTCACCCAGCTGCGGTCCCCAGCTGGCCAGCTTGCCCCTCCTGCCCCTCTGCTGGATTTCATGTTTCTGCAGCAGAAACACCAGTACCTGTCTCCTTCCAAATACATGTGGTCACCTTGTCTCTCAAAATAAAGAATACTAATTTTCAGCTAGACAGCTTGCAGTCAGCTAGGAGTCTTGGTTTCCCAGCCTCCCTTGTCTCTAAGTACTGGTGAGTGAGATGTGTATAAAGGTCTGTGGAAATGGAGGAGTTCTGCGCAACTTCCAGGAAGCCTCTTTGGAAAAGAGGAAACATGCCCTTCTTCCTCCCTTTCCCCATCCTACCTCCGGTAGGATGGGGTCTGATGCCTGCTGTAGTGACCACAGGGAACTGCTGGATGAGAACCGTACCCTCAGGTGGCTGAATGGAGAACAGGAAGGGCTGTGGGTTCCTGATGACCCTGGGGCTGGCACTGCTGCCCTGGATGGCCCTCCCCTAGAATTCTTTACAGGAGAAATAAGTCCCCATCATATTTAAGCCATGCCCTTTCAAGTTTTCTGCCACACAGAGTAATGACCAGGCCTAACCGAAACTCTTTCTTTCTTTCCCCAAATTATAAATAACACTAGGCTATTTTAAGCCAGAAAAGCATTCAATGGAAACTTGACAGTAACCATATAAAGGTATAAAATGGAAAGGAATTACTGCAAATTCAGTGGAGGACATCCCTGTTTCTAGATATTTGTTATCACTCCCCTGCTGTGGAAATATTCTTCAATGTCCATACTCACCCACAAGTCCCCTGCCTTCCATCACATTCATGAGGCTCTCCTTCCTCCTTGTTTGATTGTCACTTAGATGATCTCTGGTTGACTCACCGTAACTCGAAATTCCTCTCACTCTATCCTGTCAAACAGTCCACGCGTGTCCTTCTCCCACTGACTCCATCCAAATGAGACCGACAGCATTGTGTTTCTCAAGCAAAAATGCCATCAGAGCCCATCTCAGTGTTTTCGCCAACAAAAGAACCATCTACCCCAGAGATAATTTAAGCAATTCCATCAGAAGGAAAAAGCAGCTACCATACATTTTTTCATAGTATTTTTCTTTCTACTCTATATTAATTAAGAAGTAGGGAAAATACACCTGTGAAAATTTAATGAAATCAGAAATTCCAGCACAGATTTTAGCAGAGTTTCTGTGTATCATGAAAAGTGCCTAGGAAAGCATGAGACCCGATGCTGGCAAAGGCGCTGTGATTTATGTGAAAGCAGAAGCCATCTCTCCTGACACAGAGTTCCACCTCCGGTGATCCGTCACGCCCCCCCCCCCGCCGCAAGTCCAGACCTCCAGCTCTGGCTGACGCCTGCAGACACTGCCTACCAGGCCTGCCCCTACTTCCTGCACTTTATGATTTTTCTCTTCAACTGTCATGGGATGCAACTTCTCTCATTTAAGACACAGCATGAAAGGTTTGCCTTCTTACTCTCTTACCCGTAGCTTTCAATGAACGCACGTGCTCTGAGAGCCCTGCTATGGGATCCACAGACTTCTCTTCACTGCCAGTTACTGCAATTATCCATCAGATTTCACATGGAGGTTGGAATCAAGACCCCGGCCTGACAGTGTCTTACCTCACCTCCATACTTTTTCATCTCCGCTCGACCTCGGATACTTAAGAGCGTATCTGAACATGTCACCATCTAACACTTCACTTCTTAAATCTTCAACTCTGATTTTCTATCACCAACAATTTTTAGCTTCCACCTTTCTCTTCCTCTCTCCCACTACAACTACTTTTTTAAGCCTTTTGAGAGAATTCTGGGAAAAGAAGGCAGAGCAAAAGATTCTCTGTCCCTCTCCTTCTTAGAAACTATCCAACAATAATCAGGAGAAAACCAGAAAAGACCACCTCATCTTCAATAAAAACTGATGAAAGTCCGTAACTCTGGATGAAAATACACAGAAAAGAGTTCCAAAGGGCAATGATGATTAGACCAGGGCCTTGAAAGTGTGACCAGGATCTCAGCAGAACCCAGGTGGTGTGTGCAGCGTGCTGAGTTCACCGTAGCTACATCCCACGTTCAGGGGCAAACAGTGGTCTCTGGTTAGAATAGCAAGATTCCCGTGGGGGACGGGCAGCGGGAGCCTCCAAGATGCCTTTGTGTTGCAAAGAAGTGGCCCCAGGAAGGTGGAACTGAAAGAGGAAATATATAAAAAACCTGTCGGGCTTCCCTGGTGGCGCAGTGGTTGAGGGTCCGCCTGCCGATGCAGGGGACGCAGGTTCGTGCCCCGGTCTGGGAGGATCTCACATGCCGCGGAGCGGCTGCGCCCCGTGAGCCATGGCCACTGAGCCTGCGCGTCCGGAGCCTGTGCTCCGCGACGGGAGAGGCCACAACAGTGAGAGGCCCGCGTACTGCAAAATAAATAAATAAATAAAAAGCTGTCTGCCATGGGAATGACAGCACAGAGAATAAAATACGGTAGTAAGCAGCCCTGCAGGCGCTAATCTTACCCACTGGAGAAGGAAAAAAGATCTCAGCACGCCTGTGTGTGCATGTGCGGATGTAGGCACATCCCCCACCTCGTACCACATTCTAGACTTCACAGAGCCCTGGGGGGACCTTCTTGTAACCCCGAGGGTGTGGGGAAACTGGCTGATCTTCAAAACCTGCAGGCCCACCCTTTCCTCTGATACCTCACCCAGCTCTCTTTCAGAACTGCTCACCTTTCCAAGATGAACAATACTAAGAATAATAAGAAAACACTTAGAAAAGGAGCAGGACGCAGAGAGGAGCACACTACACAAAAGGCAGATGAAGATCCTTTGTCAAAAAGTAAAGACAACAAAATAGGTGATGTTATTTGCACGCCTGACTCTCTGCACCAGACTGTGGCCTAGTGTTCCCAGCATCTAGCAGTGCGGCTGGTACATACTAAATATTTCATCTGGATTTGATGAGTAAAGAAGTGACTTTCTCAAGTGGCATTTCACATATTATTGGTCTCCTTGTGAAAATGATTTGGGGTGACTGGGCCCTCCTGGATTTCCTGAAATGAAACAAATATGTGTAGCTTTCTTGGCTAAGTTTAACGAAGACAGGTTGTTTTGAAATTCTAATTAAATTCAACAAATATTCGTTGAGTCCTTACTATGTGCAGATTACTCTGCTGGGTTCTACCATGGATTTAAAAACAAGATCTGATTCCAATTTGAAAAGATACGTGCACCCCCAATGTTCATAGCAGCACTATTTACAATAGCCAAGACGTGGAAGCAACCTAAATGTCCATCGACAGATGAACGGATAAAGAAGATGTGGTACATAAATACAATGGACTATTCCTCAGCCATAAAAAGAACGAAATAATGCCATTTGCAGCAACGTGGATGGACCTAGAGATTACCATACTAAGTGAAGTATGTCAGACAAAGACAAATACCATATGATAACACTTCTATGTGGAATCTAAAATATGATACAAGTGAACTCATTTACAAAACAGAAACAGACTCACAGATATAGAAAACAAACTTATGGTTACCAAAGGGGAAAGGGGGTAGGGAAGGGATAAATTAGGAGTTTGGGATTAGCAGATACAAAATGCTGTAAAATAAACAACTAGGTCCTACTGTATAGTACAGGCAACTATATTCAATATCCTGTAATAAACCATAATAGAAAAGAATATATATATGTATAACTGAATCACTTTGCTGTACATGAGAAACTAACACAACACTGTAAATCAACTATACTTTAATAAAAAATATATATATATATAAACAAGACCTCGAGGGGTTGAATATTCACTATTTAATTAATTACATTTTTAATTTTAAAACGTTTCTTAATTAGTCTGGGGAAGGGCAAATGCTGTTTCCTGACCACCAGAATCTATTCTAACAGTAAAGCCATTGCTACTATTCCAATATAACAGTAGACAGAATAGGTAGATGATTCAAACTCTTTTAAATAGTGCAAATGAACTGGATTCCTTTTAAATTTAATAATAAATGAACACTGTAATAAGTCTGCATGGAGACATGCAAATTACTGTGGCGTTAATTTCATAATGTATGCAAATGTCAAATCATTATGCAGTACACCTGAAACCAATATTACAATATTGTATGTCAACTATATTTCAATTAAAAATTTTTTAAAAAATACTTAATTCCTCATTTCAAGATAAATAAATAATAAATGGTCATGGTAAATGAAGTTCATACATTTACATACTCATTCAACAAGTATTTGTAAAATGCCTTCTATTTGGAAGATGCTATATTAGGCAGTTTGGGAGTTCCTAAATCTGATACTCAAAGTATAGGTGATATATGACTGTGATATATTTTAAATTTTTGTTTGTAAATGAATGGATTTTTATTCAGAGTTTAATATTAGAGGAAAAGGGGAGATTTCTGGTTTCTGGTTCTGCATGTAAGGAGTCTGGAAGTTGCCACTCCCTCCCAACAACAAGTAAAAAGCTGAACAGGGCTTCCCTGGTGGCGCAGTGGTTGGGAGTCCGCCTGCCGATGCGGGGGACGCGGGTTCGTGTCCTGGTCTGGGAAGATCCCACATGCCGCGGAGCGGCTGGGCCCGTGACCCATGGCCGCTAGGCCTGCGCGTCCGGAGCCTGTACTCCGCAACGGGAGAGGCCACAACAGTGAGAGGCCCGCGTACGGCAAAAAAAAAAAGCTGAACAGACGGAAGAATCAACAGCTCTTCTTGGATCCATGAGAGACATGAGGACACAGGGCAAACTGCTGTCCCCAAGGCTGGAGAGACAGACAGTCAAATACAGGGAGCTGTGGTTTACTGGAGCTGAAACAGCTATGGGAACTAATGCTGGCGGGGGAACCCTGCACTGTAATTAATGAATTGCTGGAGACTCAGTTCAGACAACGCTGAGAGTTAAACACTTTGGGTAAACACAGTCATAGGAGGTCCCCCGAAGTTTTGTGACACTTACCTCCAGGATCTTGACAAGGCTTCTACGGTGAATATCAGAGAAAAATCTCCTCGGGCTCCGGCAGTGGGAGGGGAAAAAGAGCCATCTGAAATACACCAGAGCACTCTCTTCTTAACAAGGCTGCCCTCAGGTGAAACTAGTTAACCAGAGCCTAGCCTGCTGGGGGATTATCAGAGCCTAACTGACTGGGGGAAAGGGAAATACCGAACTGCAGCCCGCTCTAGCCATCCTGCGCCACCTAAGAGGGGAGGGAAAACTGAGAAACACTTGTGAAGCTCATAGCCCAGAGGCCTCGACTCCCTAAATTCTGAGACCTAACCACAGGACTATAGAACCCTTCCCCTCCCACCTCACCACCAAGGTACTAAGGCCAATTTACAGCAGTTCTTTCACCTGGTACATCATGTCCCGCTATCAAGAAAAATTACAATGCCTACCAAAAGGCAAAAAACATAATTTGAAGGGAAGGAGCCAGCATCAGAGCCAGACATGGCAGGGATGTTAGAATTATCAGACAGGGGATTTAAAACAACTGTGATTAATACGCTGAGGGTTCTGATGGGTAAAGCAGACAGCATGCAAGATCAGATGGGCAATGTCAGCAGAGAGATGGAAATCATAAGAAAGGAAAAGAAATGCTAGAGATCAAAAGCACTGTAACAGAAATGAAGGACACCTTACATAGGCTTGTTAGTAGACTAGACACAGGTGAGGAAAGACTCTCTGAGCTTGCATATGTCAATAGAAACCTCCAAAAAGAGAAAAGGGACTGAAGAAAACAGAACAGACTACCCAAGGACTGTGGGACAACCACCAAACATGTGACATGTATGTAATGGGAATACCAGATGGAAACGGAAGAGAGAAAGGAGCAGAAGAAATATTGGAAAAAAATAGTGACTAAGAATTTCCCCAAATTAAAGTCAGACACCAAAACACAGATCTAGGAAGCTCAGAGAACACCAGGATAAACACCAACACAATCTGTATGTAGGCGTATCATCTTCAAACTATCGAAAATCAAAGATAAAGAAAAAATCTTGAAAGAAGCCAGAGGAATATAACACTTTACCTACAGAGGAACAAAGATACAGATTACATCCAACATCTTCTCAGAAACCATGTGAGCAGGAAGAAAGTGGAGTGAAATACTGAAAGTATTGAGAGAAAAAAGCCTCCAACCTAGAATTCTGTTCCCTGGGAAGTTATCCTTCAAAAGTGAAGGAGAAATAAAGACTTTCTCAGACAAACCAAAATTGAGGGAATTTGTTGCCAGTAGACCCTCCTTGCAAGAAATGTCAAAAAAAGTCTTACAGGGAAGGAAATTAACACAGGTCAGAAACTGGGATCTACATAAAGAAAGGAAGAGCATCAGAGAAAGAATTAGTGAAGGTAAAATAAAAACTTTTATTTTATTTCTCTGATTCTTAATTGATCTATCGGATAACAGTATGTTGAAAATAACAGCAACAATGTATTTGGTTACATATGCTGATGTATGTATATTAAGGACATATGTGCTTAAGGATGCTTATGTATAAACAAAATGAAAGTAAGGAATGCTACAAAGGACAGGAGGGAGGAATTAGGATTATTTTGTTACCAGAAGGTACTCACACTGTCTGTGGTGTGGTGCTTTCCAACATGGACTTGGATTAATTATAAACCTATCTTGAGAATTCTAGGGCAACCACTACAAAGTTAAAGAAAGAAGTATAACTGATATGCTAATAAAAGAGAGAAAATGGAATCTCATAGAATGCTCAATTAAAACCACAAAAGGCAGAAAAAGAGTGGAAGACAAAAACAGGAACAAAGAACAAGGGCAGCAAATAGAAAACAGTAACAAATATGGTAGCGATGAATCCAACTATATCAAGATCAGATACAAAGTAGTGCTTACATTATTACTGTTCAGTTTATCAAGGAAAAGTCAGGAACTGGCTAAAAATAGCATGTGCCCACATATTTACCATATAATCTCATTTCTTTTCAATTTATTTGAGTGCTAGAAAAAAATGGGATTTATGAGAAACGATAAAAAGAAAAATGCCTTTTAAAAATCAATTTTAATAAAAGAAACTCTAGTCCTTTTGATTATTCAGAATCTCCTAAGATATGTTCCTCGGAAATCTTCTTCCAAAGTACAAAGGATAGTTTAGGAGAAAAGATCTATGTGGTCAAATGGGTTTGGAGAATGTTGCATTCTATAAATTCCCTTCTGGAAATTTACAATACACATGAGCAAATCAAAGAGTCTGAAAGGATAAAGAAGATGTGGTACATATATACAATGGAATATTACTCAGCCATAAAAAAGAACAAAATAATGCCATTCACAGCAACATGGATGGACCTAGAGATTGTCATACTGAGTGAAGTCAGGCACAGAAAGACAAATGTCATATGATATTGCTTATATGTGGAATCTAAAAAAAAAGGGTACAGATGAACTTATTTACAAAACAGAAGTAGAGTCACGGATGTAGAAAACTTATGGTTACCAGGGGATAAGGTGGGGGGGAGGGATAAGTTGGGAGATTGGGATTGACATGTACACACTACTATATATAAAATAGATAACCAATAAGAACCTGCTGTATAGCACAGGGAACTCTACTCAATACTCTGTAATGGCCTATATGGGAAAAGAATCTAAAAAAAAAAGAAAGAGTGGATATATGTATATGTATAACTGACTCACTTTGCTGTACACCTGAAACTAACACAACATTGTAAATGTAAATCAACTATACTCCAATAAAAAACTTAAATTTTTTTTTTAATTTAAAAAAGAGTCTGAAAAGTCCCAGAGTAAAGGAAGTTTATTTAGCCCGATGTTTCCCAAATTTTGGAAAGCACAAAGAAATTCTGGCCAAAAAAAATGTGTTGTAACTCAAAAACACAAGATTCTTAAGATGGTCAAGTGACCTTAGCTGGAGATGAACATGATCCATGTCTATGGCCATGGTCTCTGTCATCTCCTGCTGGTGTAAAGGTGCCCCTTTCCTGTTTAAGGACCAGCTCCTCCAAGTGCACTCTGGTTGCCATCCCCTGTTACTTTCTCAAGGACTTCATTCCTACATCATCAATTTTCTATTGATGTTTTTCTCTATTAAGATGCTGATCCAGTAAGCATGAAAACATTTCTTTGTAACCCAACTTGGAAACAGATATTACTTGAAAAATGTCAAGTTGCCACCCATTTCTTTGCTCCCCTGTTACAGCACAATTCCTGGAAGTTTCTACTTGACATCTCTTCTCGATGATGTTACATAATCATTCTTCAGTCTCTTCTAATCTGGCTTTCTTCCACACCGCCGCACTGAATTGTCAAGGTCTCAAAAAATTCCATGTTGCCAAATTCTGTAGACATTTATAAATTCTTATTTTAATTTACACTCAACAGCATTTCACGTACTTAGCCACTCATTCCTTGAAATACCACCTTTATTTCTGCGACCTCATGCTCTTCTGCTTTTCTCCATGTCTCACCTCAGCCTCCTCTGATGACTTCACTGCCGCCACCTGACCTCAAAAAGTAAGAATTCCCCAGGTTCAGTTCAGCTTACTTGTGTTTTTCTAACCTCTTACTAGATAATTTCATTCATTTCCATGGCTTTAAATAACGCATATGACTAGATTATGAGTGCCAAATGCACAGCCCCAGTTCCTAATTCTGCCCTGAGCTCTAAATTCTTAGAGCCAGCTGCCTATTGACATGTTAGCATATATGCCACGTGCATCTCAAAGGTAGCAAGTCCAAAAGGTGCTTTCCCACCTTAACCCAACTTCTGCTTCTGTGTTACGTATCATGATAAACTGCACTTCCTTCCACCCTGTAACTCTAGACAAACAATCCGGAGTCATCCTCTGTCCTCCTTCCCTTATCCCTCACATCTAAGCCATTAACAAGGCCTGCCAATTTTCCCCTCGCATACCTGTGCACTTGAACCAGTCTACTTCTCTGCATCTCCATTTCTACCATCTGAGTTCAACCATCTTCTCTCGCCTGGACTATTGCTATTGCTTCCTAGCTGATCTGTTTCTCCTCTTGCCTCTCTCCAATCAATACTCCCCATGGCACGTGAGTGACTTACAAAAATGCAAATCCAGTTGACTCACTCCGCATCCCGCTTGCTTGTTAAAAGCCTCCAGTGGCTGGCTCACTAGCTCGGAATACAGCACGGCGGTCAAGGTCTGGTTGGCAGCTGCTTCCTCTTGGTCCAGTTGCTACTTTCCTCCCTGCGCGTTGGCTTTTCTGCTTTCTGTACTCTTCCCCTAAACACGCTTGGCTCTTCCCCTCCTGTTCTTTCTCTACCTCATTGTTCTTCCCCTCTTTTGCATACAGCTGAATTCTTTCATATCTCACCTCAGTCCATCCCTGACCATCCTACCTAAAGCTGCCAGCACACCCACGAGATTCCGTCCCACCTCCATGTTTAGTCCCCTCAAAGCACGTCAGATGATCTGCATGGATGGCGTTTCCTATGAAGGGGTGATGGTGAGTTGGGCTGGGTGCGATTTGGGTCTTTGTTTGTCTTCTCTGCACACACCTCACACACATCCCTGAGGATGGAGATCTTTTCTGTCTAGTTGACCACTGTAATCCCAATGCCCAGAGTAATGCTGGCACAGAATAGCTCCTAAATTAATATTTGTTGGATAAATAAATCCATAATCCTCATTATAAACAAAGGCTTACAAAAATATGTGATTATTCCTCTGTGTCAACCCAGATGATATAATCCTGGTGAATTTCAATGGAAAGTGAGTCTAAGGAGGCCAGTCCAGGTTACAATAAGAAAACAAAACTGCAAGTGAAATATGGACTTCCTAAGGTGATATACATCCCTAGTGCACCTGAGGTTTAGGGATGGAAATAATTCACCACCAATTTTGGGAGGACATTTCAGCTAAACGACACATCTCATGGCATCCACATCTCCTTTTCAAATCGCAGCTTCTAATATTGTGAATTGAAAATCCTGGGGCTTCCCTGGTGGCGCAGTGCTTGAGAATCTGCCTGCCAATGCAGGGGACACGGGTTCGAGCCCTGGTCTGGGAAGATCCCACATGCCACAGAGCAACTAAGCCCGTGTGCCACAGCTACTGAGCCTGCGCGTCTGGAGCCTGTGCTCTGCAACAAGAGAGGCCGCGACAGTGAGAGACCCGCGTACCGCGATGAAGAGTGGCCCCCGCTCGCCGCAACTAGAGAAAGTCCTCGCACAGAAACGAAAACCCAACACAGCCAAAAATAAATAAATAAATTTATTTTAAAAAAAAAGGAAAGAAAATCCTGGACTCCAAAGAATTCTTTCCTCTCTACTCACCTTTTTCAAATCTTTTCACTAAAATGTAATTTAGAGTTTAGCCACTTGAGGGCACTTTAGATCTTTTATATGCACTCCCTTTTAAAAAAATGCCAGGCACCTTTCAAAAAGGCCAGAATTAATTTCCCTACAAATATTACATCCTTGATTCTGACACTTTTAAATCTCTATTAAATCTCTAGCTCCTAAAATTCAAACAAGCTATTTCTAATCCAGGAAACTGTGACATCGCTGGCTCATGACTTAATCTTATTCAAGTTGTCATTACAACACCGAGCCTCTGTCTTCAGTTTCTCCTGAAGAGATCACAGCGCTATCCATTTTAGGTTAATGATTCACAACGGTGAGCTTAGACTCACGCCAGAGAATTTTCGAAACGTGCACTTCTGAGCCCACTCTGTTCATTCAGATGCATTAAATTACAACCGCCGGGGCACAGCATTAGCTTAGGAGGTTTTTAGAAGCTCCCCAAGTGCTTTTTTTTTTTTTTTGCGGTACGCGGCCCTCTCACTGTTGTGGCCTCTCCCGTTGCGGAGCACAGGCTCCGGACGCGCAGGCCCAGCGGCCATGGCTCACGGGCCCAGCCGCTCCGCGGCATGTGGGATCCTCCCGGACCAGGACACGAACCCGTGTCCCCTGCATCGGCAGGCGGACTCTCAACTACTGCGCCACCAGGGAAGCCCTCCCCAAGTGCTTTTAATACACTCTTGGATGAGGACAAAGGCCACTGTTTTCAACCAGCCTTGCAAAAATATGTGTATATACATGTACACACACACACACACATATACACATACATGTATACACACATACATATATACACACACATATATATATACACACGTATATATACATATATACCCACAGATATGTATGAACAACTGTGCCTCGGAAAAGACAAGAATCAGGACCCCCCAGCCCCGCAGGAATCTCCACAGGAGTCAGGGGCATTACCTAAAGCGGTCAGGAAATGACTGCCTTGAAGACGGTTACCACACAACGTTGCAGTTCTGTTTTCATTCCCCACGGGTCCTCTACCAAAGCGCTCATTTTTGAGGTGAGTCGTCAGACTGGCCTGGTGTGGCTCCACAACCGCCTCTGGAGCTGAGGACGCGTCTGGAGAGCACGCGGAGGGAAGGCACAGCCCAGCGAGCCCGGCTGGACAAACAAGAACAGCACCCCATGTCCTCGGCGCCGAGTACGTGTAAAGCCCCTCGATACCTCCAAATATGCCAACTGCACCCACATTCCAGCGCCAGCAACGCCGCGAGCTCCCTGTGCCTGGCAGTCTTACAAGCATTAGTGAACACATTTGTTTTCCCGCAAGAACGTGAGCAGGAGAGCTGCGGGTTTTTTTGTTTTTTTTTTCAGTACTCGCGCCTCTCACTGTTGTGGCCTCTCCCGTTGCGGAGCACAGGCTCCGGACGCGCAGGCTCAGCGGCCGTGGCTCACGGGCCTAGCTGCTCCGCGGCATGTGGGATCCTCCCGGACCGGGGCACGAACCCGTGTCCCCTGCATCGGCAGGCGGACCCTCAACCACTGCGCCACCAGGGAAGCCCCCGAGAGCTGCGTTTTGATTTTACGTCTTTTTATCCCAAGCCCAGGCAGTCAACTCACTCAGGAGACAGCAGGAGAAGCACCATCTTCACTTCACTTCTCTTTGAATCTGGGTCTCATCCTGATGAAACATGAAGGAAGACGTGTTGTGTAGGGGGCGCCGTTTCCACGTTATCCTAACCTGGAACGAACGCTGACGTCCTGCGGTCACATCAAGAGAGTGGGACGTGCTGTACTTCCGGAGGAAAAAGGCACAGCCTCCTACCCTGATGCTCCAGCGTATGATGTCACCTGCTGGTGCCTCTACTCCCCATCTCCAAGATGCAGAAGCGAAAATACGTGCCTCTGTGGGGACTGGACGGACAAGACGTTGTGTGTGATGTGGCCAGTTGCCCCCATGTCCACCCCCACCCCTTCCCATGCTACTTCCTGGTCCGCCGCGGCCAGAAGAGGGAGGCCCACTCCCTGGCAGCAGGGGCTCTGGGTGTGAGCTGTGTTCTGTCCGCCGGAGGCAGAAGCTGGACAGGAGCGAGAGGCCATGTCCCTGCAGCTCAGCCGTCTGTGCTGGCAAGCAAGGTGTCAGAACTCGGAGGTTTCCTGCAGCGGAGTTCCAGTGCACTGTCCGGATTTTTCAGTCTTGTGAGACCTGTGGCCTTATGTCGGGGCCAACCTCAGAGGTGGGAGCTCCTTGGGCCTGCGTCATCCCGGCGGGCATCCCAGCCACCCGAGAACCTGCTTCCCTGGCCCTTCCCTGACTGTAAGGGCTGCACTCTCTGTCTCTACCCACTTCCACTTTAAATCTCTGGAGAGGCTTCTGTTTCCTACCCTGAACCTTGCCTAATACAGACATACAAAGTGCTTAGTAGAGTTTCTGGCACTTAAAAGTTGCTTTAAAAATGTTAGCTATCATTATGGTTTATATTTGACCTTTTTAAAACGTTTAAAATTGATATATAGTTGATGTACGATATTATATAGTTGTACAACATAGTGATTCACAATTTTTAAAGGGTATATGCCATTTATAGTTATTATAAAATACTGGCTACACTCCCTGCGTTGTACAATATATCCTTGTAGCTTATTTATTTTATACCTAGTAGTTGTACCTCTTAACCTCCTACCTGTATCTTCCCCCTCCCCACTGGTAACCACTAGTTTGTTCTCTATACCTGTGAGTCTGTTTCCTTTTTGTTATATTCACTAGTTGGTTTTATTTTTTAGATTCCACATATAAGTGGTGTCATATATTTGACCTTAGCCACATTAAGCCCGTTTCCTTATCTGTAAAATGGTGACCTGCTTCCATAATTGCTGTGTAGATAAAATCAGATAACGTATGGAAAGTGCTTAGCACCAGGTGTAAGGATTCAAAACTTTTATCTATAATTATCATTTTGACTGGGTTCCATTGTTACTTTTTTACCAACGTATAAATTATTTTGATACCAGTCTTTTAGTATTGAACTAAAAATCTTGCATACTTGATAACGCCATATATAACAGCACTGTACAAGTGTATGCCAATGTCTAGGCTATTGACCTGTCCCAGATTTCTAAATGTAGTAATACGTTACACAGAGAGCCAGGCTGAACTAAAATAATAATAATAATAGTTTCTCAAAACTAAATCATCTGATTCTGACCTGTGGAATTTTTCTTTGGACTTTGCTCTGTAACCACTAGAGGGCAGACAAACACGGTGGAAAATCAGTACTTACCGGACAAAGCAGTAGAGTCTTGATCTGCTTTTTGAATGTGGGTAGAAGCCATATTTTTCAAAGTTTCTCCTGTCGCAGCAACCAATGAAGAAAGTAGAATAATGATGCTTCATATGTAAGAACACAAATTTCAGTTAAAGTATCATGTATTTGTTTTAACTTAAGTTTCATAAAATTAATAAGCACAATTTTCCACCACAGACCTATATAAACTTTAAAGCAAAACCACTCAACGACACATGCATGGATTTCTTAACTTAGAAGAGAATTAAGCAGCGAATGACTCATTAGAATAGAAGCAGAAGCACACTGTGGTATCATAGTGAGCATACCATGCACCTGGGCATATGGAGACCTGGGGATACATAAACGGGCCCATTTTACCATTAGGTGCTGTTGGCGCAGTGCTTGGGGTTTACACATTGTTCAAGACACTAGGAAAAAGTGTGAGACTTGTAGAAAAATCGACTCCCAACTTCAAAATGAAAACTGCTTTTTCAATTTACACACACACACACACACACACACACACACACACACACTGAAGCTAACAAACCAGACCCCCAAAATAACAACCATCTGCTGGGGTTCTGATGGAATAGTATTAATCAATTTTCTTAAAATTACCACCTTTACAAGATTGAGTCTTACAATTCATGAATTCAATAGTATTTAGATCGTATTTAATTCCTCTAAAGAATATTTTACAATGTTCTACATAGAGTTCTTGCACCTAGAGTTAAGTATTTGGATTATTTATATTGCCTTAAATAGTATCTTGTTCTTAAAGTTTAATTTCTACCTGTGTTATTGGTATATGCAAATGCAATGATTTCTGTACACTGGCTAGAATCAGCACACTTGCTAAATTCTCTTATTAGTTGATACTATTTATGTATAAAATCTCAAACTTTGATTATATCTTATGCAAATAATGCCTATTTCCTACTGTGCTAACATTAAAGTGTTGTCTTTTTCTTACTGCGTTGCTTGGGTCCTCCAAGTTTACTAGGACACAAAGGAGTGACAGCACATCCTAGCGTTGTTTCTGATATGATGGAGGTTTTCAATCTTTCACCATCAAACACATTTGCTAAGGGTTCAGCAATTTTATTAATCTTTTCAATTTAGCAAGTTTGACTTTATTAATCTCTTTTATTGTGTGTTTCTTCTGTTCCATTAATCTTTTATGCTATCATATCATTTTCTTCCCTTTATATTCTTTGGATTTAATTTGCTGTTCTTTTTCCAATATCTAACATTGGTTTGTAGAATTTCTTTTAAAATATATGTGTATACCTTTCATTATAAATTTCCAATAAGTATGGAAAGCGAGTTGGAAATAATCAGTTTTAATTATTCAGCCTTAAGTTCCCAGTATCTTCATTCTGAAATTAAATCCTTTAATAATTTTTTATAATATTGTGTAGATTAAAATCATTCTTCTACATCATTAGACCTTGCCTTTCCTAACCTTCCATGTCTATTCTCTTCTTTGGTGTGTGATACTCCATCTCAGAGCACACTAGAATGCACTCGCTACAATTCTAGCTTTGGCACCCCACAGCTTGGCCTTGTCTAGTCCACCACACGCTCTGCAGTCAACAGAACACTTGATCCACCTGTTAGCTCCTGAAATCTCGTCCTGTGAAAACTTTCCTCACGATTGCGTTTTGTGGTTGTTGTTTTACTATTTTGTTTTGTATTTCTCTGTATCCTAATTTAGGGGATATCAGGGTTCTGAATGTTTTAAATAAATGAACCCCATATCCACCTTCTGATCAATTCTCTTTGGTTATCAGGTTTACATTGTAAAGTGAACCGTGATTTCAGTTTACAATAGTGCCCGTGTTGCTTTAATTTTGTGGCTGCATTATTTGGACCCTGTTGAATGGGGAGATGAATTTGCTTAATACTAACTTCCCCCCATGGAAGGTAAAACCAGATGAAACGAACTGATAATTCTCATTAAAAAAAAAAAAAAAGGGATGGATTTTAATTTGGAGTGTGGCACTTCCACAGCCAAGTTTTTAGGTTGTGCAACATTTAACTTGGTTTTGTTCCATGGGTATAGCCTGGCAGTCACCTGACCAGTCCTCTTGGAAGTACATGCTCCAGATCACAATGGGGACATGAGGTCAGAGGTTGCATGAGTCAGCACACGCCCACAAACTCTGCTAGGAAATACAGCTCTAGCCGTTTGAGCAGGTATCATTAATCATCTTAGCAGATGGAAAGCCTATTAAAAAGTGACTCCTTCCAGATGCCAGCAGAGACCACGTTACCAAAGAACTGGTATGGCCCAAGCTCTTCGGATGGAATGATTAAAGGGGAAGGCACTCAGTACAGCCCTAAATAAGGAGAATTACCCATTACTGGCAGTTTCTGGAAGCCATAATTCCCTGGGAACAGCCCAAATCTTTGGCCTCAATGCAATTCATCCAGGTGTGTTTCTCCAAAATCTCACTGTTATCAGAAAAATCACACCACTTTTCTCATCACTCCTGAGGCACATAAAAATCATCATTCCCTATTGCCTGACATGCCCTGGAGTAAACTGGCCAGGCATGTATTATCAGTAATTGTACACATTCCCTGAAGACAAGAATTGCACTTGGCCAAGTTATAGGCATACAATACATATATAAAAAATAGGGGGGCTTCCCTGGTGGCGCAGTGGTTGAGAGTCCGCCTGCCGATGAAGGGGACACGGGTTCGTGCCCCGGTCCGGGAAGATCCCACATGCCGCGGAGCAGCTGGGCCCGTGAGCCGTGGCCGCTGAGCCCGTGCGTCCGGAGCCTGTGCTCCGCAACGGGAGAGGCCACAAAAGTGAGAGGCCCGCATACCGCAAAAAAAAAAAAAAAAAAGGTATTGATTATTTATTTCATAGCGAATCAATCTACACTATTTCATGAACACCTAAAAAAAGTAAAATGCTTATAAGAAGTTGTCTTATAATGGTGGTGAGGATTAGGACCCTTTGAAAAGCCTGCTGTGTCACATGAGTCTATCACTCAAGGGGGAAAAGATGGTACATAGTTATCCAGTCATTTTCAGGGATACAATGTGCTCACACTACATTAAAATGTGTTAATGATGATCATAAAGCAAATGTTTCCACAAAAATAACCAGCACAAACCGAGTGATATAGCCCTGAGGTCATTTACTAACATGTTCAATGAGTATCAAGTAAATAAAAGAAGTTGTAAAACAAAAAAATTATGAACACCCAAATGTTCACAGAAAATTTATTTTCCCCTTCCTTTTTATTTTGAAAATTTTGAAATCTACAGAAAAGTCGCAAAAATAGTAAGAGAAACACCCATAGGCCCTTTGTCTGGATTCCTCAATGTTAAGCTTTTGCTGAGCTTGTTTCTTGTCTGTGTGTGTGCGTGTGTGTGTGTGTGTGTGCACGAATATATTCTTGACCATTTGAGAATTACTTGCAGATATCATAACACTTCATCCCTAAATGCAAATCTCCTACAAATGAAGGCATTCTCCTATATAATAATACAATTATGTCACTCAGGAAATATAACAGTAATACAATGCCATTATCTAATACACGTCCATTTTCAAATTTGCCCAATTATACCAATAACGTCCTTGGTTTTTTTAATTTACTTTTCCTCTCTGGGCTACAATCTAGGGTCACACATGTCATGTCTCTTCAACCCCCTTTAATCTGGGACAGTGTCCCAGCCTTGTTTGTCATTCATGATGTTGACATTTTTAAAGGTCCAGGACAGTGGTTTTCCAGAATGTGCTACAATTTGGATAGTTAGACTCAGTTTAAACATTCTGAGCATTAATACTACGCAGATGAAATGCGTCCTTCTTGTTGCATCAACAATCATGTGTTTCTCCCTTAGAACTTTCTCTCCATGCATCCTACACACAAACTCTGCTATTACTCATCCCCAGACTCTATCGCGGGGTGGGGGTGGAGGGTTACTTTCTCCTGCCGCTGCTAACGCAGCCCACCTGCACAGGACGTTCTCTCTGTTCTTCGCCTGCTACCCAAGCGTTCCTTTGTTCACTGCTCAACTCAAGTATCACACTTACCACAAAAACTGTCTCTACTATACTCCTCCAGGCATATATATCTCTCTCCAAAGTTCCTATAGTTGTCTGAAATCCACGCAGTACTTCATCACAACGAATAACTTCATTGCTCCCCTTGTATTCATACTAATCTTATCACAGTTGTGTACCTACCTTGTCATCCCACTGGAACGCCACCGAATTGACAGCAGCGACCATGAACCTTGAATTCTCTATATTTGGACTGTATTTCCCAAAGGGCCTATCAGACTCCAGAGCACTTGGTAAACAGTAATGTGTGGTCTTTGATGAATGAGTGAATTAACATTACCTTGGGAAAAAACCCATACTGCAGTTAATTCCCCTCTGTATTTAAGAACTCATCCAAGAAAACAGTGTTTTCAATTTAGCCCCCCGAGGGCCATACATATCCCCAGAGATTTTTTTCTACGTCTATATGTAACTGTACTTAAAAAAAAAAAAACAACTTAAAAACAAAAGTTTAAATTCTCAAGGAAATTTCTCAGAAATTAAGAATGGAGGCCAGCAGCGAGCCGGAGCTCTATGGAGGTGGTGGCTGCAGCAGCGACTCTTTCGAGCTGAGAGTTTCAGGCCAGTCCCGACTCCTTCCTCCCCCCTCCCTCCCCCTCTTTTGTTTTCCGTTCCCCTCCCCCTCCCTTCCCTGTCCCCGCAACCGGATCCTGAGGCGGCAGCTGCAGTGGCAGCTGCTGAGTTCTCGGTGAAGGTTTTTCATTTGTTCCATCCCCTTCCCTCCCCACCCCATCGATTAATATTATTCTTTTGAAGAGTCTTCGTTGTCAAGCCGCCAAAGTGGAGAGTGCGATGGTAGAAGCGGCTGCTTCTCGTTCCAGTGCTTCTTCGGGCGGAGGAGGAAGTAGGGGGGCACCTCAGCACTGTCCCAGGACTGCTGACAACAGCGAGTTCCTGGGGAGAACGCCAGGGCAAAACGCGCAGAAATGGATTCCTGCATCAAGCACTAGACGAGATGACGACTCCGCAGCAAACAACTCCGCAAATGAAAAAGAACGACATGATGCAATCTTCAGGAAAGTAAGAGGCATACTCAGGAAGCTCACTCCTGAGAAGTTTGACAGGCTATGCCTTGAGCGCCTCAGTGTGGGTGTAGAGTGTAAACTCATCCTTAAAGGGGTCATACTGCTGATTGTGGACAAAGCCCTAGAAGAGCCAAAGTATAGCTCACCGTATGCTCAGCTATGTCTGCGATTGGCAGAAGATGCACCAAACTTTGATGGCCCAGCAGCAGAGGGTTAGCCAGGACAGAAGCAAAGCACAACATTCAGACGCCTCCTAATTTCCAAATTACAAGAGGAATTTGAAAACCGAACCGGAAATGTTGATGTCTGTGATAAGCGTGAAAATCCCCTCCTCCCCAAGGAGAAGGAACAGAGAGCCATTGCTAAGACCAAGATGCTGGGGAACATCAAATTCACTGGAGAACCTGGAAAGCTTGATCTTATTCATGAATCTATCCTTCATAAGTGCATCAAAACACTTTTGGAAAAAAAGAAGAGTCCAACTCAAAGATATGGGAGAGGATTTGGAGTGCCTCTGTCAGATAATGAGGAGAGTGGGACCTAGGTTAGACCAGGGACGAGCCAAGTCCTTAATGGATCAGTACTTTGCCCGAATGTGCTCCTTGATGTTGAGTAAGGAATTGCCGGCGAGGATTCGTTTCCTGCTGCAGCATACCACAGAGTTGAAAGAACACCACTGGGTTCCTCGCAAGGCTTTTCTTGACAGGGGACCAAAGACGATCAATCAAATCCGTCAAGATGCAGTAAAAGATCTAGGAGTGTCTATTCCTGCTCCTATGGCTCAAGGGATGAGAAGTGACTTCTTTCTGGAGGGACCGTTCGTGCCACCCAGGATGAAAATGGATAGGGACCCACTTGGAGGACTTGCTGATATGTTTGGACAAATGCCAGGTAGCGGAATCGGTACTGGTCCGGGAGTTATCCAGGATAGATTTTCAGCCACCATGGGGCGTCATCGTTCAAATCAACTCTTCAATGGCCATGGGGGACACATCATACCTCCCACACAATCGCAGTTTGGGGAGATGGGAGGCAAGTTTATGAAAAGCCAGGGGCTAAGCCAGCTCTCCCATAACCAGAGTCAGGGATTCTTATCCCAGCTGCAAGGACACTCGAAGGATATGCCACCTCTGTTTTCTAAGAAAGGACAGCTTAATGCAGATGGGATTAGCCTGAGGCCTGCTCAGTCTTTCCTAATGAATAAAAATCAAGTGCCAAAGCTTCAGCCCCAGATAACTGTGATTCCTTCTAGTGCACAACCACCACGCACTCAGACACCACCGCTGGGACAGACACCTCAGCTTGGGCTCAAAAGTAATCCACCACTTATTCAGGAAAAGCCTACCAAGACCAGTAAAAAGCCACCACCATCAAAGGAAGAGCTGCTTAAATTAACCGAAACTGTTGTAACCGAATATCTGAATAGTGGAAATGCAAACGAAGCTGTCAGTGGTATAAGAGAGATGAGGTCTCCTAAACACTTTCTCCCCAAGATGTTAACCTAAGTAATCATCCTGTCACTTGACAGAAGTGATGAAGATAAAGAAAAAGCAAGTTCTCTGATCAGTTTCCTCAAACAGGAAGGGATGGCCACAAGTGACAACTTCATGCAGTCTTTCCTGAATGTATTGGACCAGTGCCCCAAACTGGAGGTTGACATCCCCTTGGTGAAATCATATTTAGCACAGTTTGCGGCTCGTGCTATCATTTCAGAGCTGCTGAGCATTTCAGAACTAGCTCAACCACTGGAAAGTGGCACCCATTTTCCTCTCTTCTTACTCTGTCTTCAGCAATTAGCTAAATTACAAGATTAAGAATGGTTAACAGAGCTTTTCCAACAAAGCAAGGTCAATATGCAGAAAATGCTCCCAGAAATTGATCGGAATAAGGACTGCATGTTGGAGATCTTGGAAGGAAAGGGACTGAGTTTCTTATTCCCACTCCTCAAATTGGAGAAGGAACTGTTAAAGCAAATAAAGTTGGGTCCATCTCCTCAAACCATATATAAGTGGATTAAAGATAACATCTCTCCCAAACTTCATGTAGATAAAGGATTTGTGAACATCTTAATGACTAGCTTCTTACAGTACATTTCTAGTGAAGTAATCCCACCCAGTGATGAAACAGATTCTTCCTCTGCTCCTTCCACAGAACAGTTAGAGCAGGAAAAACAACTGCTTCTTTCCTTCAAGCCAGTAATGCAGAAATCTCTTCATGTTCACGTTGATCTACAAGTCAGTGCCCTCTATGCTCTTCAGGTACACTGCTACAATAGCAACTTCCCTAAAGGCATGTTACTCTGCTTTTTTGTTCACTTCCATGACATGGAGGTTATTGAAGGAGAAGCTTTCTTGGCTTGGAAAGAAGATATAACCCAAGAGTTTCCAGGGAAAGGCAAGGCTTTGTTCCACATGAATCAGTGGCTAACCTGGCTAGAAACTGCTGAAGAAGAAGAATCAGAAGAAGAAGCTGGCTAAAAAAACCCAGCCAAAGCCTTAAATTGTGCAAAGCGTACTTTTGCTATGATGTTATTGCATTTGACCTAACCACTGCGAAAATTCATCTCGCTGTAACGTTTTCACAATATTTAAAGCAGAAGCACATCAGTTAGGATTTCCTTCTGCATAAGGCTTTTTTGTAGTGTAAAGTCTTAATCATAGTCTACCATCAAATATTTTAGGAGTATCTTTAATGTTTAGATAGTATATTAGCAGCATGCAATAATTACATCGTAAGTTCTCAAGCAGAGGCAGTCTATTGCAAGGACCTTCTTTGCTGCCAGTTATCATAGGCTGTTTTAAGTTAGAAAACTGAATAGCAACACTGAATACTGTAGAAATGCACTTTGCTCAGTAATACCTGAGTTGTTGCAATATTTGATTATCCATTTGGTTGTTACAGAAAATTTTTTAACTGTAATTGATGGTTGTTGCCATAATAGTATATTGCCTGTATTTCTACACTGGGCTTTATGTGCTAGATTTTAATATCCTTGAGCCTGGGCAAGTGCACAAGTCTTTTAAAAAGAAACAGGGTTTACTTGTACAAAATTGACCAGTTCTGAGAGATCGTAAATGCCCTTAAAGTGGTCTTTGTGGGTGTGAAACAAATGGTGAGAATTTGAATTGGTCCCTCTTATTATAGTATTGAAATTAAGTCTACTTAATTTATCAAGTCATGTTCATGCCCTGATTTTATATACTTGTATCTATCAATAAACATTGTGATACTGGGAAAAAAAAAAAAAAGAATGGAGAAAAAACTCCAAGTTTTAAAGCACCTCCTCTTTTTTCAAAACAGCATTTTCTCTATTCTTAAAAAAATAGGTCACTTGACCTGAAATAATCATAATAAAAATAACAAAAAATTGAGATACTAAAGAATATCCTGTTATATCAAGTGATTGTAGTATTCATTCTTTATTACTTTGTACATAAATTTCCTGAAAACTCAAGGCTTTATAGCTCCACATGTTGTGTTCTGCTTGCATTGGTACTCACCTCTGTTTTAGTGCAGAGCATATTTTCCAGGGGTAAATACTTCTTTGTATCTCAGACTCATTTATCTCCACATCAACTTACCTCATTGCAGATAAGAAAATGCAGAAGACTCCCGGCTGAGGCCGTGCTCTGTCATGGTTTCTCGTTCCTAGGAACACATGGAAGCAACTCTAAACTGCTGTGGATTCTCCTGTTAGTCTGTTAACTAAATAGGGGTGAATTTTCTATGAGGAAAATATTACCAGTAAATGTTTTTGTTTTAATTAGGGCCTGGTTAAGTTGCTAAAGGACTGAGTGAATCAAATTACAACACAATTGATCTTCAAAGTTTGGCTTCCTACACATCACAGATGTCCATCTAAACCAAATGTAATTCTCAAGCATGGTTTATGTCAAGAAAATAACTGCTTATTGAAGCTGCCGTAAAGTGCATTCACCCACGCTTTTAACAATAACAAGTCTTACTGTTTTGACACCTTTTCAGGCCTAGTTCTGGGTGGGGGACAGTGCCCAAGGGGGGTGTTCTGTGGTCTTGTGAAATCAGGAAACATTTAAAAATGCAACATAACACAGATTTCAAAAAATACAGACATTTCCAGAGACTTGACAATGTTACTTTGTATTGTGAATCTTCAAAAAGGGAATAGAGGGTTTCCTACTTCGAAAACTTACTTGGAGTAACTTACGACAACTACAGAAGACACAGCCTAAGACACAAGTGTTCCATGTATATTTGCAAGTGATTTGAGAGGCAGCATCATTACAATATGGATTGGAGGCAGACAGGCTGAATTCTTCCCCTACCTCGGTCAGTAATTAGCTGACAAGTAACTGGCAAGGCCTTGGACAAAGCATTTTTGTCTCCAGGCCTTAGTTTCCGATTTGTAAAGTGGAGATAAAGTCGTAAGATTATTGTGAAAATCAAATTAATAAATTCATAGTGAAAGTGCTATATAAACTGAAAAGCACTGCATGAATATGAGTACATATTCTATTTTTATTATAATATTCCAAAACATTTCCTTACAGACTCACAATACTTGCTTTTTCTAATTAGAAGTCCTATTCTCTGAGTCTATA